AGCCGGGTTTAGGGCTGTTGTACATAGGGTCACTATGTGACAAGACGGCACCACCACAACAACAACGTGGGGGTAAAGTTATGAAAGCAGCTTCATCATAACCTAACACCTGAGGGAATGAGATGCTGGTCCTGGGGTTTCAGGACCGCAGTGTAGAAGGACACCACGACCAGCTGGCGTAGCCCAGCCTACAATGACAAAGTTCTGCATGCCATTTGGTGGGTGGCAACTGGGGTCTCAAAAGCTGGTGAGCGGTCACCCAAGGTCCAGGTTTGAGTGTTTCCTCATTAAGAACAAAAGAGAGAAAAGAAGAAGAAAACCACACAGAAGCAATGAGTACGAAGGAGTGCGGATGACGTGAAGCTCCACTTCCACAACCTGGAGACCACAAGAACTAGATGGTGCCCGGCCATTGACGCTGACCGCTCTAAAAGGGGTCGCAGTGGAAGGTCCTGGGCAGAGGATGGGGCATGTGGAGCGAACACAGAAAACAAACATGGCCGAGCTCACTAGCCGTAGAGATCGGCACAACTCTAGTTACTCATCCCCACGGCTGGATATTCAGTGAAACAAGAGGCAGGCCTGGGAGGTGAACGGTCGTAGCAGGCAGCGGTCACTAATCCTATAGGCCAACCAACTCTATCAGGCGAAAAGGGCAAAGGACAAAGCTCAGAAGGCACGAAAGGGCAGGACGGAGGATTAATGGACATGAGAGTCACTGGGAGGGTGCAGGAAGAGTGAGGGCATTGTCACTCACATCCTAACAGAAAACCCATCCGCGCTATTGCAATCACTATTTAAGAACAAACTCTGCATGGATGGCTGAGTGGAAATCAAATTTGCATGCTCACTTTCCCTCAAGTCACAGTAACAAGAAGAAAAGCATCATCGGGCGATCACCGAGGGCTGAAGCTCTGTTGAGGGTAGGGGTTGGACCGTGTGTCTCAGTCTTTCTGTCAGAGCTAAACGTCATCTTCCCTTCCAAACAGAAGCGTCCACAGAAGCCCGTGTGTAAACCCAGCAGAGCAGACTGCTCTGGAGTGGAGATGCGAGGCCCAGAGCCCTTCCCTCAGTCTTCTCCCTTCTCCGCCCAAGGCCCTAGGCATCACTATTGAAGACCCTTCAAAACCAAACAAAGCCCGTTCCCACTGGATCAGTTCAGACTCATGGTGGCCTCATGTGTGGAGGACAGAGCTGCCCCGTGGCATTTCCGAGACAGATACTTATGGCGCAGACTCATTTCCTTTTCCCGGCGAGTGGCTGGTGAGTTCGAACCTCTGACCTCTCAGTTAGCAGTCCAGCTATTAACCACTGCACCACCAGCATTCCTAGTTATTTCTTCACGAACCTGGACGGCACTCCATGAACGCCATGATTCCGGCTTCACATGCTGAGGATTATTTCAGAAGCAGCTTGAACAATGAGATGGGTCCAGCTCCTTAGATAGCAGTAAACCCAGATCAGCGAGTATTAGGATATTAAGGACACGGGAAGCCGCAGGATTGGAGGCGACGTATTCAGTAAGCTTACCCTGCAGGATGTGTCCAGAGCCCACTGGCTGCTCACTGATGTGAGCTCGAAGGAACAAGTGCCTGGAGATGCCGTGAACGTCAGTAGGATTTCATGGCCAAAGTCAATGTCATGTGTGCCTGTGTGCACCTCATGGGGCGACCGAGTGGGTCCTGCCTCCTGCACATCTCGATCTCTGCCTCACTTCCAGCGCCCCTGAGGTCTCTTCCCAGGGGAGTCATGAATTCCGGGAGCTGACACAATCTGCCCGGCAGGAACCCAGGAAACCAGAGAGCCCAGAGCCAACAGAGAAAATGCAGAGAGCCACGCCGGGCACGGCTAAGCCACACTCTATAACCAGCTTTCCAAAGACAATATGGGAAAAAAGTAAAAACACTGAGGGCCTCTCCAGTTAACTGAAGGTCATAGTGAAACCTGTGCTCATAGAGGTTAGACGAGTATCACACCACCAAGATGAAAGAAACGGATTTGTTTTAATACGTCCTAGGGATGGTTCCACTCCGTGACCTGCACTGATTTAGAAATGTTTATGTTTGCGGCACTAACGGGGTGGGGGGGGTGTGTGTGGAGGGTTGTGCATGCTCTGTGTGTGTGTGTGATGTGTGATCTATGTGGGGTGACTGTATGTGGTGTCTAGCCTGCATGTGCTGTATGGTTTGTCTGTGATCTACGCTGGGTATGTATAGTTAACGTACGACCCATAGTGACCCTGTCAGCCACAGGTCTGAACCCTGTCCTGTCCTGTCCTGGGCCATCCTCACAATCTCTCACACACTCGAGTCCAGTGCTGCAGTCGCTGTGCCACCCTGTCTGGTCAGAGGTCTTACTCTCCTTTGTCAATCATCCACCTTTCCAAGTATGAGGTCCCTCTCCAAGAACAGCCCCTCCTCCTAGCAACAGGCCGGAAGTGTCTGAGACAAAGCTCCATCATCTTTGCCTCCAAGAGGCCTGCTAGCTGCACCTTTTCAAGATGTACCTGTGTGTTCTTCTGGCAGTCCATGGGGTGTTCAGTACTCTTCTCCAACACCACAGCTCAAAGTCATCAACTGTCGTCTTGATTCACTGTCCAGCTCTCAGATTCACAGCAAGTGATTGCAAAGACCATGATCTAAACCAGGTACACCTTAGTCCTCAAATTGACATCATTGCTCCTCATAGTTTTGCAAGGTCCCTGCCTGCAGATTTTCCCCGTGCAATGTATCTCCTGATATCCTGACTGATGTCACCATGTGTATTGACTGTGGATCCGAGGATTGGAGTTGGCATTGATAATTTCTGTATAAAAGAGGTTTCACTCTGCATGCAGAGGATGTGTTTAACCTTTGACACTGTCCAAGGATCAGAGCTCCCCTTTTCTGGGCTTGGGGGTCATGACCTGGAGGAGAGAAGGACCTGGGCCCCCAGCTCAGCTCACACCGTTCTGTTACTCTTGGTCATTCTTTGACTACAAGTCTTTAGCTGAAGTTAAATCCACAACTGTTTTCAAATAAATAACACAATCACATTTCCTTCTTAAAATAAAGATGTATGATAAGTCATGAGCTTAGTAATTTATCTTAGCATTTTCCTAGTGTTTTGATCTTTGGCGAAGTCAGAAAGCCCCCAACAAGGGAATCTGGGACGGGTCGGAATCTGGTCCTGCGGGCTGCGTTTCAGGAATGACTTGGGGAATTTAAGTAAAGCTTTAGGCTACCACACCGAAACCAAGCCAGTGACTGCTAGGAGAGGACGCTGGTAATTTGCAAGGTCCTGCCGGGCCCTCCCAGGGGCGTGTGGGGTGCAGGGGTACCAGGAGGACAGGTTTTCCCCTGAGACCCAGCGTCAGCATCATCACCTGGGAGGCTGATGTCAGAGCAGACCTGGGAGGGCAGTCATCTCAGGAAGCCAGCCCCGAGTTTATACACCCCTCACCCCAGGAGAGTCTGACCACATCAGGCCTGGGAACCACTGGTCCGGAACAAGGCACATCAGCGGGCTGACTGCAGCACCCACCCCCCGCCACACTGCTGACCCTCATGGCCAGCACGTAACAATGGCCAACAAGGCTCAGCTCAGAGCCCACTGGTGACTCCAGCCAACCACCATTCTGAGCAAGAAAGATGAGGGCGGGGTGTGTGTGTGTGTTCATGCTGTGCGTGTGCGTGTGTGTGTGTGTGTGTGTGATCTGTGTGGAGTGGGTATATGTGGTGTCTAGCCTGCACGTGCTGTATGGTTTGTCTGTGGTCTATGTTGTGTATGTACAGTGTCTCTGCTGTGGGTGTGCGTGGTGTGTGTGTGTCTCTCTGTGTGTAGACGTGTCGTGTGTGTACTGTGTGTGGTGTATGGTCTGTAATGTATGGGGGGTATCTGTGGTACATGGTGTGTATGTGTGTGGAGTGTGTTTGCACTGTGTGTGTGGTGTGTAGAATGTGTGTGTGGTGTGTCTGTGGTATGTGTGGTGTGTGTCTATGGCATATGTTGTATATATGTGAGTGCATGTACTGTGTGTGTGGTGTGTATGTGTGGGGTGTATCTGGTAGGTGTGGTGTGTCTATATGGGGTGTACGTTTGTGGTGTGTCTGTGGTATATATAGCGTGCATATATGTAGGATGTATGTTTGTGGTGTGGTGTGTCTGTGGGCTGTGTGGGCTGTCTGTGGTATATATGATGTGTCTATGTGGGATGTGTTTGTGGTGTGGTGTGTCTGGTATATGGTGTGTATATCTTTATGGTGGATGTGTGGTGTGGTCTGTCTGTGGTGTATATGGTGTATCTATATGGGGTGTATGTTTGTGGTGTGGTCTGTGGTCTATGGTCTGTGGTATATATGGTGTGCAAATGTGGGATGTATGTTTGTGGTGTGGTGTGGTGTGTGGGTGGTCTGTGTGGTCGTCTAGGGCGGGGGTGTCGTCTGGGAAACCCAGTAGAGGGCTGCCCTGAGCCGGCACCGCTGGACGACAGTGGGAGGGCAGGAAGTAGTTTGATTCCCAGCCATCATCGCCCTGCGTGGTCCCCCTCCCAGCTGCTGGCGACAGCTTGCTGCCTTTTTTTTTTTTTAATTTTCTTATTTTTGTGTGTGTGTACCGTCAAATCAGATCTGACTGGTACAGGAGGAGATTGTCCCTCCTTCCCTGACAGAGAATCTGGTGGATTTGAACCGTGCGCCTCTAGGATTGTAGTTGCAGCTTCTTACCACTAGGCCACCAGAGCTCCCCGCTTGCTGCTTTTATGATGCTGCACAGATTCCAGGGAAGCCTGGAGCCTCGGGATAAAGGCCTGGTGATTTCTGTCCATCAATCAGCCGTGAAGGCGTGTACGGAGCACGGAGGTCTGATCTCGGTTGATTGAGAGGTCAGCGCACCCAGGCAGCACCTCCTTACACAGTGTGGGGGGTCCGCAAGGCAGGATTGGCTCACAGATCCGATGACAGCTCGTTGAAGGAGGGGCTGCCCCTTGGCTCCCCACGACAAGCCTTGTCTTCACAGGCAGCATGTCTGAGGTCATGGAGGAAGCCTGGTGGGCAGTGTGTCCATGTGGCTGGGGGACACAGAAGGCTCCCCGAGGGGGCGACCCCAAGGGCCGCAGAGCCTGGTGCGGCTGGTCTGCCCTGAAGGAGGGCGGCCACGCTCTGGTCTTTGTGGACTCCGTGTGCACCTTACTCAGGAGCTCTTCAAGGGCTTTCCAATGGCCATTCAAGTACAGAGGGGTCAGGTGGACAGTACGACACCGAGGTTTCACACAGGAGTGACGGACAGCGGACGTGTCAGTAAAAGTGCAAGAGGAGGAAACTGCGTGGTGAAGTGGCTGCTCCGTATCAGAGATCAAGCCGACTGAACGGAGTGAAGGCTTCACTGGGTGACCTTCTCCAGGGACAGCAAGCCGGCTGAGGGCATCACAGACCAGGGTTCTAATCCCAGCTCCTCCCCCCACCAGCTCGCTGAACCTGCAGGAATGCACTAAACTGTCCAGGCTTTGGCCCCCCTTCTGCAAAATGGATTTATGACCATAGCTTCCCAAATTATTTGTTTTGAAGATGTCATTTTATAATTCCAGTAAAATGCTTGGCAGGGTGCCTGTTATAAACACTCAGTAGCATCTAACTGCCACTTCTGCTCTTGATATTATGAACACTGTGGCCCATAAATAGTAAACCCTCAAAACACAAGCTGTTTTCGTGCCAGTCTCGGCCGTGGGGCCTTTCTGTCCCAGTCACACCGAGGCGGAAAGAGCTGTATCTCTAAAGGTTTGCCACAGATCCCCAGGAAGAAGGACTTTCTCAAAGGGTAAACAAGGGCCCCCAGTGGCCAAATGGCTCAAGTACCGGACGCAAATCAAAAGGCTGACAGTTTGAAACCAGCTGCTGTCCAGGAAACAGGTGCAGCTTCCACAAGATTACAGCAGGGGCTGCCCCACGGGGCACTGTCCACCCTCTGCTGGGGTCACTGCCAGTCAAGATTGATTCCATCCTAATGCAGCCGCGGCCACCCCACAGGACCGCTGTCCTCTCTCCTCCGGGGTCACTATGAGGCAGGATTAACTCCAGCATAACGCTGGGGGTGGGTTTGTTCATTTAGTTGTGGTGGTTTTGAAACTTTTTGCTTCTTTGTATTTCATTTTGGTTTAACTCTGATGTTGCCACTGTCCCGGACCTCGGAGTTGACTATGACTCATTGCCAAGCTAGGGAGCTCTGGTGGCCTAGTGGCAAGCTGCTGCTCTGCAATCCCAAAGGCGCACAGTTTAAGGCCACCAGCTTCTCTGTGGCAGAAGGATGGGCAATCTCCTCCCATGCGATTAACTGCCTCTGAAAACCCACCAAAGGGTCTGCTATGGGTCGGTTCTGACTCTAAACAACATCCTGACCGTGTGAACAACGGACCTGAACCCAGCCGTGTCCTCATCTGACGCACTGGACCCCAGCGTTACAGTCGATGCGTCTCATTGGGAGTCTTCCCCTCCTTCACTGACTTTCCCCCTTCCCCAGCGTGACGTCCTTTTCAAAGGACTCACTGCTTCCAACAAAATGCCCAAACTGTGACACAAGTCCTAATCCTTGCCTCCAAGCTGCACCCTAGCTGCTCCTTTTCCAAGATACATTCGTTCGTCCTTTTGCCAGTCCACGGGCTATTCAGCCCCCTTCTCCAACAGCACGACTTTTTATTATTCATTTTAATGAAAATTTACCCTTTGGATTTCCATTCATTCATTCATTGTTGCACTTTTCTCCCTGCCCACCCCTCTTGCCCAGTTCGCTCTTCTTTTCGAAAAGTAAAAGAAAAATTCTTTCATTGTTATACAATCCCTCCCCCCAAGTCCACTCCACTATGCAGCCTTCATTCTGGACACCTGTCAGGACAATACCTAATCACATATCTCTTTTAAACAGTTCCCTCCCTCATCTGATTCAACACAATATACATTATTTATCCCATCCTTCTCAGTCTCCCTCCAACCCCCATGTCAGTCCCGTTTTACAACAGTGGCACTATGCCGTATTTGTCCTTTTGTGACTGAGAGAGTTCACTCAGCATAACGTCTTCCAGGGTCCTCCATTCAGCACAACTATTTTTATAACTGCTTTTCCCCTTACTAATCAATTAACTTTTGTTCCCCTCTTCCTCCCTTCCCATCCATGTAAACCTTCAAGGTTAATTCCATCCATGTATAAGACTTCCTTTAGCCTTTTATGTTGATGTTGTTGTTGAGTTTGTTGTTATGTGTTGTTAAGTTGGGACGGACTCGTAGCTGACCCTCCAATGGGTTTGCAGAGGTGGTAAATCACACAAGATGGCCTGTCTTTCTCCTGTAGAGCAGCGTTTGGTGGATTTGAACCACAAGCTTTGGATTGGCAACTCAACTCCTTCCCACGCCCCCCATGGTGGTCTCGGGCCACAGCTGTTCTTGTCTGCCTGACTTGTGTGGCTTGGCATGGCTCGTTCTAGACCCGTTTATGGTATGTGTTCCACAAATTCCTCGTCATTTTCTGTGCCTATTTATTCCACTGTGTGTTCCACGGTTTTATTAGCCCCTCCACTGATGGACCCTTGGGTTGATTCCAGCTCTTTGCTGTTGTAAATAATGCTCCCATGACAGGGATGTGAGAGTTCCTGGTTGTCAAGAGAAAAGACAAAGGATCATAAGCCCCCAAATCCCAGTGGCTAAGATTTCGAAGGCTTCTCCTCGCTCATGTTCCAGTCCAGTCCAGGTCGGGGGACACCTCTCCCCGGGTGAGTGACCCTGGCAGCTTCTCTGTGCAGGTACATAGGAAGGACCAGACTGGGAGTGGCCAGTGCCCTGTGCCTTGCCCCCACTTGCCCTGGTGCTAGGATAAATGTCATCCTTATCGTGGGAGATAGCCAAGTCTCATTTCCCGGCCGCTGTCCCAATACCTGTGAGTCTGAGGGTCACAAAGCATGGAGTCGTTCTCATCTGAATGTACGAGTGGTTGTCATGTGCTGTCGAGTTGCCTGCGACGCTATGTGCAGCAGCTCTGAACCCTGTCCTGTCCTGAGCCAGCCTCTGTAATAGTTGCCTCTAATTCCTGCGCCCAAATCGGTCCCACGTGCAGTAGTCTGAAGGAGTAGACTGAGAGGTATAATCATCTCCTTGAATCTGGAGACAGTGATTTCTTCATAGAGTCTAAGGTCCCAACAGGGTGCTCCTGAGAGGCAGGGACAGAGAAACTGTCCCATGTCCTTCGGGCCTGTTGTCAGGAGGGACCAGTCTTTGGAAAGGGACATCAGGCTGGGAAGGTCAGAGGGTCAGAGGAAGACCCTCAATGAGGTGGATCAGCACAGTGACGAGCCCTGGGCTTGAGCCTCTCAGTGACCGTGAGGCTGACGCAGGCCAGGGCAAGGTCCAGACCCGCTGGTCAGAGGGTTTCAAGGAGCCAGGACGGACTTGACAGGGCTGAGCATTAAGGTCACAGGAAAAAGACACAGAGTTTACCCGTGAGAAAATGACCCTATCACAATGGTTGCTCCAGGGTGCTCGCACGACGCAGGGCTGGCCGGTGTCTCGTTCTCCTGACCACAGAATTGCCGTGAGTCAGCTGACCCAATGGTAGCCACACAACAAGGTCACATTCAGAGAGAGAGAGAGAAAGAGAGAGAGAGTGAGTGTGTGTGTGTGTGTAGCCATCCTCCTCTCAATGGTTATCCTTCCCATCTCAGCCGGCATCTTTGTCACAGAAAAAGTCCAGCAGAAATACAATATTTGAGGAAATCAGCCTGCCTCCCTCTCCAGGGGGCCAGCTTTTCCCCGTGTCCCTTCTGTGGCCATTACTTACACCGAGTCGAACACACTCACAGCGACCTGAACCTGGCCCGGTCCTGTGCCTGCTGCATCATTTCTGCTCTACTTGAATCCATTGTTACAGGAGCAATGATGTCAGTTTGGGGACTAAGGGACGTCTGAATCAGGCCATGGTCTTTTTAATCACTTGCTCTGTGTCTGAGAGCTGGACAATGAATAAGGATGACAGAGAAGTATTGATGCCCTTGAGATGTGCTGTTGGGAAAGAATCCTGAATATCCCATGGACTGCCAAAACAACAAACAAATCTATCTTGAAAAAGTTCTGCCAATACCGTATGAGACACAACGTTTACAGAACCCCACAGAGCCTCCATGAGAAAAAGACTGATAACACAATTACAAAATGGGCAAAAGACATGGAAAGACTTTTCACAGAGGAAGATATTTAGATGGTCAACAGACACATGAAGAAATGTTCAAAAGCACTGGCAATGTTGTTGTTGTTATGTGCCGTCGAGTCGTTTCCGACTCATAGCGACCCTATGCACAATAGCCCTAAACCCTGCTCTATCCTGCGCCAACCACACCGCCTCTGACACACCCATCTCGATTACCCCAGTCACCGAATCAATCCATCTCATAGAGGGTCTTCCCCTCCTGCGTTGTCCTTCAACCCTCCCAAGCATGATGTCCCTCTCCAAGGACCCATCCCTCCTGGCAACATGTCCAAAGTATGTCAGACAAATCCCCAGAATCCTTGCCTCCAAGGAGTAGCTTGGTTTAATCCTCTCCAAGATGAATCTGTTTGTATTCCTGGCAGTCCAAGGTACATTCAGTACCCTTCTCCAGCACCACAGCTCAAAAGCATCCACTCTTCTTCTGTCCTCCCTAGTCACTGTCCAACTCTCTGATGCATAACAAGCGATTGCAAATACCATGGCCTGTATCAGGCGCACCTTAGTCTCCAGAGAGACACTGTTGCTCCTGAGTACCTTAGAGAGGTCCCTAACAGCAGACTTTCCCATCGCAATACGCTTTTTGATTTCCTGACTGCTGGTACCAAGAGTGTTAACTGTGGAGCCGAGCAAAGTGAAGCTGTGAACACTCTCAATCTCTTCATCATCCATCCTGACGCTGCCAATTGGTCCAGTGGCGAGAATCTTTGTCTTCTTGACATTGAGCCTTAGTCCATACTGAAGGCTGCAGTCCTTGACCCTTCGCAGCAAGTGCATGAGGTCCTCCTCAGTTTCAGCAAGCAAGGTTGTGTCATCTGCATAACGCAGATTGTTAATAGACCTTCCACCAATCCTGATGCCACAATTCTCCTCATAGAGCCCAGCCTCTCGGATAATCTGCTCTGCATACACGTTGAAAAGGTATGGAGACAGGATGCATCCCTGGCGTATAAAAGAGATGAAAATCTAAACATGGCAAAGTTTAACAGGGCGGGCTGGGAGTAATAACTATTGGAAAGGATGTGGCAAAATAGTAACTCTGATACATTGTTAGTGGGTTTGCAAAATGGTACAACCACTCTAGAAGGCAGTTTGGCATTTCCTCAGAAACAAAGACATTTCATATGACCCAGCTATTCCACAGCTTGGAATATACCCCGAGAAAATGAGAACTGAGGCACAAACAGAGACTTGCACACCAATGTCACGGCAGCGTTATTCACCATCATAAGAACATGGAAACAGCCCAAATGTCCAACCACAAACGAATGGATTGAGAAATTATGGTACATTCACACAATGGAATACTATGCCGCATGCAGGAGCAATGATTTTGTAAATCATTACCTAACTTGGGAGGGACTGGACAGCATTATTATGCTAAGTGAACTCAGTCCTACAAGGACAAATACAGTATAAGACCATTATTGTAAAATGTGAACACAGATGAGGATCCAAGGTGGGGAGGGGGAAGGAGAGGGGTGAGGATGGGTGGGGGCCTGGGGGAGTTAATCACAGGGTCGCACAGTTTGACGGGTGGAGGGAGGGGTGGGTAAAGGAAATGGGAAAGATGGTGTGAAAAACAATGTATTCAAACATTGTAAGTAAACCAGTGTGAAACAAAATGTTCTTTAAATGAGGAAATAGCACAGCCAGAGTGCCCCTTAGAGAGGCTGGTGGAGCTTCACCTCACACATTCCAGGCATGTTGCCAGGAGAGGTGATTCCTTGGAGAGGGACATCATGCCTGGGAAGGTGGAGGGTCAGCAAGAGAGAGGAGGACCCACCACCAGATGGACGACACTGACTGCTGCAATGGACTCGAGAGTGTCAGAAACTGTGAGGACGACACAGGATAGGACGGGTTCGGATCTGCTATTCACGGGGTCGCGAAGGGTGCTTCGTCCACAACAGCAACGGACAGCAGTCAGCGTGCTCTGGTTTATCCATTCGTTTCAACCGTCCTCCCTCTGCACGTGACAAGCCTCCCCAAGGGAATGCCTAATGATCGTTGCTTGAGCCCAGCAGCTGTCCAGCCGTGATCTCTCAGACCCACTCTGCACTCCCGTTTCAGGTACCACATCTGTGTGACCGTGCTCATCTACTTCCTCCCCCTGCTGGTCATCGGCTATGCCTACACCGTGGTGGGGATCACCCTGTGGGCCAGCGAGATCCCAGGGGACTCCTCTGACCGCTACCACGAGCAAGTGTCAGCCAAGCGCAAGGTGAGTGGGCCAGGCAGCACCCTAGCCCCTCCAGCCTGGCTCGGCCACAGGAGCTTTGAGGGACCCAAGGTGGAGGAGAGGGGACACTGGAAGTTCAGGGTTGGACAGAAGCAGAGGGGTCACAGCAAGGCAGGGGCCCAGGGTGGAGCAGAGGGGACGCAGGAAGGCAGGGGCCCAGGGTGGAGCAGAGGGGACGCAGGAAGGCAGGGGCCCAGGGTGGAGCAGAGGGGACGCAGGAAGGCAGGGGCCCAGGGTGGAGCAGAGGGGACGCAGGAAGGCAGAGGCCCAGGGTGGAGCAGAGAGGACGCAGGAAAACAGGGGCTGGGCAGGAGCAGAGGGGACGCAGGAAGATAGGGGCTGGGCAGGAGCAGAGGGGACGCAGGAAGATAGGGGCTGGGCAGTAGCAGAGGGGATGCAACATGGACGGAAGGAGAAGAGAGAGACGGTTTCTTCAGAGCATTTGTAACTAGACCTGGAGGCAGAGACATGAAGTGAAAGATTAGGGAAACGGGGTAAAGAGAACCTGGGCACTCTGTCCTATTTCTGAAACTTCTAGGGTCTCTTCAATCATTTCAAAATGAAGTTTAAAAAAGAAATTGATCCACTTACCATGAAAAGTCTCCCGCGCGCACGCACACACACACACACACACACACATACGTACACACACTGGCAACCACCGGCATCAGTCTCTTATTGACCCTTCCCTATTTTTTACGGCATTTAAGCCCAGTAACTCTCTACCCTTCTCTCCTTTCCTGTTTCACACAGACGACAGGTGAGCGGCTTTCTCCCTCATCTTTTTTCACCTAACATTGCCCGCAGGATCTCTACAAATCAAAGTGTGAAGACCTTCCTCATTTCATTGGCCTTCACTATTTATTTTGGGTACTTTTCTGCATAGCATCTCATTGTGTGGGTGTTACGTAATTTTCTCCTCAAGATTCTCAAGGAGGAAAGAACAGGGGATTACATTACCCAAAGGTCAGAAAGAATTCTTTTCCGTCTCCTCCTCCCCACACCCCTGAGTGCCCGTCCCACAGCAGTCCTGATCTCCTATCCCTCACCCCCTGCCTCTCTAAACCCACCCTGGTTCACTGGTCCCCCACTGCCTTCTCCCCCTGTGGAAGCACACATCCAGCTTTTCTCAATCACTTCCGCTCTCCTGGTTTCTCACCCAGACTTCAACTTGAGTCAGACTTGAGTCTATGCCTGCACAGAACAGTCTGAGGGCCTGTCCGTGTTGGGTCGCCCCTCAGAGTCCCCATGTCAGCCAGTCTGGAGGGGCCCCAAGAACTGGATTTCTAGCAAGTTCCCAGTGAAGATGGTGAGGCTGGTCCTGGGACCAGCCTGAGAATCAAAGGTCCTGACCCTCCTTGGCGAGGGCCTTCCCGCCCCAGCCTCGTGCGCCTGGAGGAGCCGCCGTGAGCTGGGCTCACCTTCTCGCCCTCCTGGCAGGTGGTGAAGATGATGATCGTGGTGGTGTGCACCTTTGCCATCTGCTGGCTGCCCTTCCACATCTTCTTCCTGCTGCCCTACATCAACCCCGACCTCTACCTGGAGAAGTTCATCCAGCAGGTCTACCTGGCCATCATGTGGCTGGCCATGAGCTCCACCATGTACAACCCCATCATTTACTGCTGCCTCAATGACAGGTGAGAGCCCCACACAGCAAACGGCCAAGACTGCCTGTGACCAAGGGGGCGCTGGGGACCCTGGCATCCTAGGCACCACACTCCTCAGCCCTCCTGACAGCTGACATGCAACTTGAGTTCAAGGTGAACAGATTTCCTTTAAATATATATCAGATGATAGATAGATTGATAGATCGATCGAAAGATATAGATCATATATATATATGTTCTATCTATGTGTTGTTGTTGTTGTTGTTGTTGTTGTGTGCCATCGAGTTGCTTGCGACTCATAGCGACCCTGTGTACAAGAGCCCTAAACGCCGTTCTATCCTATGCCATCCTCACCGTCTCAAACACACTCATTCCCACCACTCCACTCACAGAATTGATTCATCTCATCAAGGGTCTTCCTCTCCTGTGCCTCCCCCTCCACTCTGCCAAACATGATGTCCCTCTCCAAGGACCAGTCCCTCCTTGCAGCATGCCCAAAGTATGTCAGACCAAGCTTCAGAATCCTTGACTCCAAGGAGAATTCCAGCTTCACCCTCTCCAGGACAAACCTGTTTGTTCTCCTAGCAGTCCATGGTATATTCAACACTCTTCTCCAGCACCACAGCTCAAAGGCATCAGTTCTCTTTCTATCATCCCTAATCACTGTCCAACTCTCTGATGCATAGCATGCAATTGCAAAGACTATAGCCTGGATCAGGCGCACCTTAGTCTCCAGCCTGACATCGTTTGCTCTTCACTACTCTTGAGAGGTCCCCCACAGTCGACTTTCCCAATGCAATTCATCTCCTGATTTCCTGGCTGATGTTACCAAGAGTGTTGACTGTGGAACCAATAAATTAAAACTGTTAACTATTTCAATCTCTTCACCAACCATACTGATGCTGCCAATCGGCCCAGTGATATATATAGATATGAAGAGATATGGGGAGGGGGAAAGAGAAATAGAGAGAGCACGAGCTCAGAGCTTTAGGTGCATAGTTTTATGTGCAATCTTGCAATTTTTCAATATTGGAGACTAAGGGTGGAAATTTTTAAATCTCTGTGACTGATGCATCTGAGTCATGCCTGAAAGATCACTGCAGATCCCCTCCCTGGTCTACAGAACCAATGTGGAGGGAGACCCATGAGAGAGGAGGGAGGAAAGGGGAAAAGAGACACGGGGAGGAGAGACAGATGGATCCGAAGCTAAGCTGGACGTCTGTGGCACTGAAAGGCCATCCCTCATGGGGCACCTTTTTTCTCTCTCCCCTTTCCATCACACAAGCTGGGAAGCTTCACACAGTTTCTTCCATTTTAAGACCCATTTGCAACCGGATAGAGCAGGCAGAAGTCAGTCACAATGGCTTGAGTCCTGCCCTTTCTGGGTATGACAAGCTGGGAGAGCCCTGCCTCCACAGACACCACACTCAGGCCATCCAGAGAACGGGGGACTCAGAGAGAGCTGGGGCTCCATGGTGAGCACAGCCCAGAGCAGGACCTTGGCCTCCAGCAGGGGAGGGAGTGGGGGAGGGCGTGAGAAAGGCAGGGACAGGGGCCCAACGCTGGCTGCCCTGTTTACATCCCTCAGGCATCAGCTGTCCACACAGGGCGACAGTCTGGGACAGTGAGCTTATCCAAACCGTCTCTGTTCATCACTTGGATCTGAAGACTCGCAAATCATTCTTCTGATAACTGCCTAATGATCCTTCTGGAGCATTTAGGTTAAATGTGCATGCCTTTAATAGAAAATTGATTAAACCTGTTGAACAAACAGAGAAACTGAGGCACAGCCAAGGGGCGTGGCTAACAGAGTTGTTAGTCTGAAACTACTTGGAAAGGACTGAGTCTCGGTTTGAGTTTTTCCCACTCTGAGACTGGGTTTGATGGTGCTGAATTGACTCAGAGTCAGATGACCTCTACTAAGGACACTCGGTTTGCATGAACCTGGCTCTGACATTGTTTTCACCATAAATCTTTTTGACCTTCACATTTCCAGCTGTCAGCTAAGAAAACAGGAATGGCAGAGCATGACGGGTGGGGGTGCTGGGTGGTGACGATCTGATCCCCTGCTTTGAGCCACCCCCCACCACAGCAGTGACCCTCACACGGTCCTCTCCTCTCCCGCTTCCTCCCCAGGTTCCGCTTGGGCTTCAAGCATGCCTTCCGGTGCTGCCCATTCATCAGCGCCGGGGACTACGAGGGGCTTGAGATGAAGTCCACCCGGTACCTCCAGACCCAGGGCAGCGTGTACAAAGTCAGCCGCCTGGAGACCACCGTCTCCACCGTGGTGGGCGCCCACGAGGAGGAGCCAGAGGACGGCCCCAAGACCACACCGTCCTCCCTAGACCTGACCTCCAACGGCTCCTCGCGCAGCGACTCCAAACCGGTGACCGTGACCGAGGGCCTGAGCTTCTATTCCAGCATGCTGTCCTAGGGGCCAGGCCCCCACGGGCACCCACCCACCCCTACCAGCCTCATCTTGCTTTGTGTCATACATGGGGTGGGCAGACCCTTAGTCTGGGGACCATCAGAAGCCCCCTAGCAAGGGGGCATGAGGAAAGGTCAGAGTGGCCTGGATGGAACCACCCGTCCCGAGACCACCGTGCTCTCCTGTCTTTGCCATCACGCCATGTGGTCTAAAGCAAGTGGCCAAACTTCTCGCTGTGAAATACCGAGAAGCTTGGCCCGCACTTTCTCACAGCCCATCCCATGGCGGGGGGAGTAGCCACGAGATCACGCAGGCCCTGCAAGCAGGTGCTCACCTGGGGTGCTGCCTGTAGCAGATCTGAGGGACCCAGCTGCCCGGAGCCCTTGTCCATCACAGATCCACCCCAGCCTGGCCCAGAGCACCCTTCCTTAGCTGGTAGCTCACTTCATATCATCCCTTACTTGATGGGGTGGCAGAAAGGAACCACCTAGAATCGGAACGGAAGAGACTGACTCTGGCTTCTCAGCGTCCATGAAGGGTCAGCACCCTTTGCTCCTTTCTGGCATCTCAATGGTGCGTCCACTCAGCAGCTGTGGGGTCTAGGGTCTCAGACGCCCCATCATTTCCCCACCAGCAGACACAGGAAGAGCCGTCCACTAACAAACCTGCGTCGGGCACGGGCCAGCGGGGGGAGGAGCCAGGCACCTCGTGCCACCTGAGCCTCTCTTTCCTTATCTGTCAAACAACGGAAAAAAAAATTTGAAGAAAAATAAAATCCATAAAAACAACAGAGCCGGACCAGGTCTGCCTTCAAGTTGTAACATCTAATGGTTCAATGACTGTATGATTTTTGTTTGTCTGTCTCATTAAAAAATAAACAAATTTGATTTTTCAAGAGAGAATAAAAGCAGAGCCCAGGGACAGATACCCAGTGCCGGGGGGCACAGCAGCTGCTGTAAAGCCCCAAACCTGACCTTCCCTGCCATGTGACCCTAAAACAGCAAGGAGAAAGGACCATATGCCCAGGGCTGTAACAGCTGCATCAGAGAAGATGAACGGAGTGTCTCTCGGGCCTGTTGAAGGCAGAGAGGGACCAACCCAGATGCCTGACTTTATACCAGCACAGGGGTGCCTGTGCCAGGGAGCACGGGAGCTGTCCCCTGCAGCGGTCCTTCTGAGCACAGGCACCTGGCACTGCCTTCAAGGACTGGCCCCTCCCTCCTGCCCCATGGCTTTGCTGGGCTCCTGCTTCTGACGGGGGACAATGGGTCTGCTGAGGCCGTGAACAGAACACGCCAAACCCTAACACGACTCTAGGCTCTCCTGAAAGCGAGGAAGTCCTTGGTGTCCCCCGGCTCTGCGCTTTGTCCAATGTGGAGAGGAGAGGCCCTCGGGTGGCATCCCTAACGTGTTCCCTGAGGTTTTCCCCTGCTCCGTGCCCATGCTGTGAAGGCGATAACAGCTTTCCCCACAGGGTTTAATAGCCTCAACAGGCCCTGCTGGCCTCGGTCCAGCCAGGACACGGGGAGGAGTTAGACAGCAACAGCGTTAAGCCAGAAAAGCCCAGGAGTGCCATTCTGCAAAGCGGCATGGACCGGACTGAGCAGATTCAATGCAGGCAGGCCGGTGCGGACACGTGAACGGGAGTCACAGCCGAGAAGCACAAAGCCATCCTACAGAGCCTTAGGCATGCTTCTGATGGCAGAAGCGGCACTTACCTTAGGAGAACGAGCCGAGGAATAGAGGAACAGTCTGTGGGTGAAGCACGCAAACTTAACTTGAACACGTGTGCACTGAGCAGCTGCGCCGGGCTCCCCCCGAGCTGTGGGGACACAGCCCTCCTCCCTCAGGGAGCCTGCAGACTTCCACCTTCGTCCTCCGGGGTCCAGTCAGCCCAGAAAGGAGGGACGCATCTGAGAAGCCGGTTCTCCACGGGATCCTGCAAATCCACAATCAACAAGGCGTCATTAAGGCAAAGGCTGGAACTTTCCAAGAGTTCTGTGCTGCGTTTCCTCTGCGATCATTCCCTGAGAGCTACTACAGTTCCAGGGACCCTGTGGCCATGCAGTGTAACCACGTCACCGCGGCCACGCAGGGGAGCACCTTAGGGCTGGTCCTGGGCAATGTGGCCTCAGAGATGAGCGAGGAGCCTCCCTCTCACCCACTTCCCAGGGTCTGTCTAACCTCCCACAGCTGAGAAACACTCTGGTTTGCGCTGTAATAGGGTCTCAGCCTATTACAAAAATATGTCACCCACTGTGTTTATCTCAACGAGCTTCCTGGATGCCCTGTCCAGGACTAATGGACTATTAGACACCATGGGGCCATATTTGTTATGTTCCTTCCAAAATACGGGATCCAGTGCTGTCAATGTGTTAGCTGTTCTGTGCCAACCACCTCCACTCATTGTTCCTCGTGGATTCACAATGTTTGGGACCACAGGGAGTAAGTAATGGGGACGGGGGTTTTTATGGGAGGAGCTCAAGGAGTCACTGTCCTCCACAGCCCCCACCAGCAGGCCAAGGCTGGTGGACGGCAGCAAATCCTGGGCACAGGGGACTCGGGGGCCTACTCTTGACCTGGCTTTAGGGGACAAGAGGGGAGGGAGAAAGCATGGCTCCTGCAATTCCCAGGGGGTTTAGCCTCTGACTTTGAGAAGCAGCACCTATCTGGAAATAAAGTACGTGTTTGACTAGCGTCTGCCTGTGTCCCATCCCTTGAAAACAGAACCTCCTTAGAGGGGCCGCATGGGGCGGTATCAACCAAGCTGGGGGCGCGTCGATGCTGATGCAGGAGATGCATGTGCATTGGCGAGATACCTGGCGCCCCAGGATTTCAACCTGCTGAGCTGGGGAGCCTCAGGTCTCACCCATCAGCTGTCTCTGCATGCACCCCAGCCTTTCACTGTCAACTGATCAAGTTTAGGAACCCAATTAGACGGTATTGCCAGAAGACTAGACCCCAGAGTCCAGCAAACTCCTGTGATGAAATGGGGGGGGGTGGGGAGCAGGGGGGCAGTACTGGGGAAGGTTTCCAGGCTGTGATCTGAGAAGTTATCTGGGAATAGGTGGGGTGGCCAAAAATGTTACCTCTGAACAGAGAGCTGGGCAAATTCAGGTCTCCCCAGAAGCAGAGAACAAGACAGAGTAGAAGGGAGAGAGATTATGAAAGAAAAAGCTGAGAGGAGGCCCCGAGAGTTGGGCCAGCATGTGATCACAGGTCTGACACACCCCCCCCCACAGGGGGGAGGTGGAGGAGGGACACTGGACACCAGCACCCCAGCCACCCACAGTCACAAAGTCTTGGCCGGGCCAGCATTGTACAAAGACCGCCCATCAAGAAGACGGAGATGCCCGCGGTGGCTGAACTGACCAGCCGGGCACCCCGGCCACGTCCCCTCACTGGCTGACACTCTCCGGGGACAGAGGTCTCTGGGACAGCAGAGGTGGATGCTGACAGTCCTGCAGCCGGAAGGTCCCCTCGGACGGCAGCCCGACTCGCCTCACTTCCCTCCTGTCTGTCCCCTCTGCAGACACAAAGAGGACGTCTGTGGCGCCCTCGGTGCAGCAGGTCCACACTGGCTGTTTGCTGAGCACCGAGCGCTCGCCCACTTGTGTCTCTGACATTCTGGTAATTCTTGCAATATTTCAAACCCTTTTTTCACAGTGTTATTGTGCACTTACTAGACTTACACTATAGTGTCCACATGACTTCCCTACATCCTGGGGAGTCAAGAAGATCCACGTGGCTTGCTCTACTGTGGTATTTGTTTTAACCAAAGGGACTGGAATCAAAGCTGCGGAGTCTGAGGTACACCCACGCACTCCCCACAGCAGGATGTTCTCTGAGCTGTGCAGCTCCTGACTCACAGGAGAGCGTGGCCAGTCCCCTGAGCCTCAAAGTCCGTGTCAGGAATTTCTGGCGGGATTTGAAAGCTCAGTGCTAATCACGGTAGCCTGGCCAACCTGTGCCACCTAACCCTCAGGCCTCTCTGTCAACTAGCCAGTAGTGGGTTGCATTGAGGCAGTCCCTAGCAGAAGAGGACAAAGACATTGGAAGAGGGAAGGGAGAGGGAGAGGATGGGAGGGAGAGGGGGAGAGAGGAGAAAGAGAAGAGGAACTAAATGTGGGTCCTGGAGACTTTCCAATCACAGGGTGAGGTTGATGCACCCCTGGGAATTTCAAAACAGCTTGGGAATCAAATAGCCACTCAACTCAGGCCCCCAAATGAGTTAAACTTGTTAATCACCCCTAACGATGTCTGTCGCTATCAAAAGACCAAGTGCACAATTAAGGGGTACACTTAATCTCCTCAGTGGAAAGGGGAACATCACTGAATAAGAGAAGACCACGGCTTAGTTGTCGTCGTTGTTGTCAGGTGACCCCACAAACAACAGCTCTGAGCCCCGCTGTGCCCTGTGCTGTCCTCACTGTCTGGTTTCCTCGTGCCCACCGTTAGAAGCCCTGGACGGTGGGCCTTCCCCTCGCCCTCTGACCCTCCACCCTTCCAAGGGTTATGTGTTTTCCCCAGCACTGGTCCCACTGATAACGACCTGGCGTGTGACAACGGTCCACCATCCGTCTCTCTCAGGAGCACACTGTGGTCGCACTCCCTCCAGGACAGGTCGATTGGTGCTTTCAGCTCACGTGATATTCCATCGCCTTCAACACCCCAGCTCAACACTGATCCTGCTTTTGGCTTCCTGACTCATTACCCCACTTTCACATCCGTGTGACACAAAGGCAAACAGGTTCACAACTAACACTGGAAGACAAACATTCCTGTGTGAATACAAAGGCGGTTTTCATTCTTTGGGGTCCAGGTGGCCTGCGTACACCAGAATGTGCTGAGCCCTGGGCGCCTCGCCAGCTGTGTTCACACTCTCCTGACACCCCGTGTTTCCTACGGGTGTGGGGGGGCAGCATGCATGGGGAGCCCAGCTGAGCTGCTGACCCAGAGGCCACACCCCTCTGGAAGTTCAAAACTAGGAGCCGCTCACTGGGAGAAAGACGGCCTTGGGCCTTCTTCTGCTGGGTGTACCGTTGACA